CCCTGACCCCGAGAATACCTAGACGAAGCCAATCCGTTCAGTTGCAAACCCGCAAAGCCATAGTTTCCGTGCGATTCTCGTGGATGGAGATGCTTTGCTGCAAATGGGTTTTTGTGACTCCACGCTGCTTGTGCTGCTCCTCCAGCCTCCAGCGTCGATTGTTTGAGTTCCAACAATGCGGCAGCCCGTCGCAAACGGAGCATCGGCCGCGTTTCCGAAGGCGTCTCGTCCAGGTATGCGGCGCGCCGGCAGACGACAGTTTGGAACTTCGCAAAAGCAGGGTATTGCGTACAGGACACAAGCTTGCCGCCGATACAGAGATTAGTACACGCAGGGTCGAGACCGGCAGCCTCGTAGGTGCTGCCAGGGATGCGCTTCCCGTTTTCGTCTAGGCAAGTGCACTTCCCGCCGTAGAGGCCAGCAACGCGCTTGAGAAACCCTTTCACGATAAGGTCGGTTCGAGCAAATCTAGTCGGGAAGAGAAAGCGTGCTCTTTGCGTAGGCAAATCACCGGCGCGATCCATTGAGACTGCGTAGTTGCTTGGATACCCGTCAAAGGGCATAAGTAAGCCTGTGCCGTTGCTCAGCATCATCACATGCGTAGACTGCACGTGCTGGAAGGCTGCGCCCGCGTCTGGGGATCCACAAATCACGCGCTGATACTTGCGGACCTTTGGTGTTGAAAACCAACAAGCCTCCACGTCAAATGATCCACCAAGACAAAGGCTGTTGAGGCTGTACGCGGTGCAATCCACCGCGTTTGGCGAGGCCACATCGTAGTACGATCCGTCCGGACACGTGCACACGCCACCGTAAAGCTTGTCCCTTCTTAGACATATTGGGCGTGCAATATAGATAAAGTAGTAAATTTTGTTCCTCCTAGCTTTAGCTTTTCTAGCACTAGCTGTAGCAGCTGGTACTTGCGACATAGATACTTTGTTTACAAGTAGAACTTCAACTTCATCATTCAAGCAAACTTACTACCCAGAGTCAAAGACAAAAAACAAACCATAACATTTTGCGCGCGAAAGGCGCAACAAGAACGAGCGAGGCGCCTGGCTCTTGCAAGGTGATCCCTCGAAACTGACTTGCGACCGCGTCAGCAGGCGTGCGCTTCTTTGTTGGCAGCGAGACCACCTTCTTTTCCTCGCAGATTTCCATGCCATCAATCGGACAAGGCACACGCGCCGTACCTGAGTCGCACGTGCAGACGTTGCGGCGCCAGATGACGTCTTCCGGGTTGATGCTTATGTCCACTCCCAGCTGCGCCAGATCCGGCATCTGGATCAGTCGGCCGGGCATGAATTTGCGCGCAGCTTCGAAAAAATCACCTGGAACGGTCGCGTTGCCAGGGACCAAGTTCAAGTATACGTTGAGGAGAGCACCCGAGGCGGTTACATCTGAAGTCATCTTCAACACACGGACGAGGTCGGTGGCCTGCTTCTCGATCCCACCAGCCTTTTTGAACATATCCGCGAGCTTGGATTTCGCCATGCCCGAAAGAAGTGTTTCGAGCTTTGTCATCTCCGGCACCGTGAAGGTTCCGCCGGAACTAGGCAGGCCAAGCACAGGATTGGGATCTCTTGAGGGAGGATCAATCGAGATCACGATCTCTCCACCAACGCCGCGCATGACAAAGACTTTCCCATACTGGGGCGGTCCGCCATTCGGTGGTGGGACATCTGGCGCCTGAAGACAAAAATATTTCATACAAACGACAACACGCGGACATCACACAGAGAAAACCAGAGTAAAGGCTTAAATGCCTCGGGATCAAAATCGTCCTTAAGAGAAGCGATCCACCTTTGTATCCCAAAAACCTACGGAGGGATGTGGAGCCTTCCAGACAGGTTCACACTCAGATACAAGGAGCACAAAATTAAGTATAATAGGCATTTCTTTGCATTTATTAAGTAGTTACTTTACCATCATGCAATCCCCGCCAGGGACAAACTCGACTCCGCCAATTTTCGTGCACGTTGCCGCATGCGCCAACGTATCAGGAAGATCGTCCCTTGCCACTGTACAGACGGAAAAAGTGACTCCCTTCTTCTGCCGCAGCTTGCACGTCTGTGCTGGTTGAGACTGTTTCCCAAGCTGCTTGTGCGCCAACCGCATGGCCATCACCTGCTTAATCGAGTCAGCTAGAGGCCCATCCTCGGCACTCCTAGACGTCTCTGCCATGCTCAATGACAGCTCAGCCGGCACGCCACGTCGCGCCAGACCTCTTTCAACCGGTTCTGCACCGGGGAGTGATCCAAAAGCGTCCTGCTGTGCCTGCGCGATCGGGTCACCAGAAGATACGGTGAACTCTAAAGAAGCCGCTTTTCGGCCTTGTGCAGCTGATGCTAGCCCTCGTTGCCCCCGTTCTCCTGATTGCTGACCGACTCTACTACTATGCTGCTTTTGTCCGGATGAGTCACCGTCTGTGAACATGGATTTTTTCATCTCATTCAGCTGTGCTATTGACTGTTTCACTTCAGCTTTCAGCGTTTCGAGCTGCTTCTTCTCAGCACTCAAGTCCTCCCCCGTTTCTAGTACTTCTCTTCTTCCCTGTTCCAGCACGCTCATACTGAAACCTGGCGCGGGCCTCTCTGCTCTACTTCTAGACTTTGGCCTTACTTCATGTGGTAGCACATGCGGATGCTCTTCCGTTGGGTGTTGCGTGCTCTTGAGCCCGCCGTCTTCTTGTTGTTTGAGAAGATCTGCAGCCAGCGCGTCTTCTCGATCTCTCGTCTCCAGTGCAGCGTGCGAAATACCGAGGCTAGTGCCAGGAGTCTCAGTTGATGACACTGATGGATGCGATTTGTCGAGCTCCGATAGGCCGATGTCGCTGCCACCCCTGCTACGCTGATTCCTAATTGATTGCCCTGGGCCTCCGGCCTCTGGTATCACGTCCATTTTTTGTTGAGAGCGCAAGTCCTCATGTGTTCTTGTAATTGTATTCCCCACCTTTTCTTCGGATGCCAAAAACCCTTGTTCCAGCCTTTGTGGTGGACTAGAATTTTTCGGCGACATTGGAGAAGGAGAGGACGCTAGTGATCTGTGCATCGCCGCTTCTACTGCCTTTCTTTTAGCTGCTAGCATCTCTTGCATATGAGAGAGTGCCGCTGTACTTTTGGCAGGTCCATTTGTGTCCGCCTCTGCGCCACTCTCAGCTTGCATAGTCTCCTGTGTCTGCCCTCCGACCTGCGCTGTTTCCTCGAGCAAGACGACGCCGCGCCGATCTGTTGCTGCCGACGACTCGCCAATAATGGCGGGTACTTGCGAATGACTTGACGTGTCAGAACCTGTAGACGGAGATGCCCCCAGATCCTCCTGGACGAAATGTTCATGTAGGATTGCTGAGTCATCTCGACCCGTCTGATGAACTACATTTGTCTCTCTGATACTGTGGAAATCCTGCTGTTCTCCGTCTCGCAGCGCGATACTAGAAGCACCATCATCGTGCCTGCCTGCTCCTCGTCCCGAAGGACTCCGGGAAGATGATGTTGGTGGATGTTTTTCATCTATCGACTTGGACGCCTGCCGTAAAAAGTTCGCGAGCGCTTTGCCTTTGAGACCGACTTTTTTGCTTACCCGCTGAAGCAGATCGTTCAGCTCGGCTTTTGACCGAGGCTGCCCTTTCTCGGGCAGTATGCCAGCAAGGCTCTCGATCAAGGGTGCTGTTGCCGCTGTTGGATGTGCGGCGAGCACTCCAGTCGATATCAGTCGCAGCGCCCATCGCCACCCTGCTACAGATTTCCGGTGCCGGATATTGTCAATTCGAACGGGACTTGTCCATCTCTTATTTTTGTTGCCGCATGCGCGTGCGCCTTCTGCTCGTTGACCTTGGCGTCGTCCATTTATCCTCACCAGCTCGAAGTTCCCAGCGACACCACTAAGATCTTCATGACCTGGTAGCGGCTGCCTCCTAGAGGAGGACGAAGATGGCGATGGTGACGAACAGATGCTGCTGCCCGGAGGACAGCTACCGCTGCTTGCTGGCCGTTTCGTTACGCGATGAACCAGCAACATATTCAGCGAAAATATCGTTTAGAAACGCGAAACGAACCTTAAAACGTCGCGCCACCATCTGCTCCGATGAAGGCCGTCGTCGTCTTGCTACGGTGGCATATATCTTGTCCCAGTCTGCCACCCCGGCACATGTCGGTTGGAGTTGTAATATGATCTAATGTGTTGCTCGCTTGCCGCCCTTGCGGCCTTGATGGGCTATATCAAGAAGGACTGACCAAAAATTGTATACAATCTTCACTACCTCTACTTCCTACCACGAATTCTGCACCACACTACGCGACTTCTCAAACAAAAAGTTAAAGATGCAAGAAGATCGACATCGAGATTGGTGATACTACTGCACAAGATCATTATGGAAAGGCGATCTCTGTCGCGTGGTTCTTTGGGCTATGTGGTGCAACGTTTCTGTTCGTTGTAAGCGACCCTGAACCCTCTTGGCCAATTTTAGTTTTACCTCTTGCCCGATTTTTTTCCTGCGCCTGCACTTGGATAAGACATCACGCAGTACTCATTCATTCACTCATTTATTACTCGCAAAAATTCTGCGTTGTTTTTTTTTTTCCATAGGACTACACGCTGCCTCCCATTCAACTACTTAAATAACCTTATTTAAAAAATTTACATACCGGGGAAGCAAGAATACCAGGGGAGCAAAATTTACAGACTCCACCACGTGGGCCAAGTTTTTAAAGGTGCTGAGCTATTGCAATTCTATGAGTGCGTATGCGTATGGTCTACAGTTTGATGTTACATCTAGTGTCCTCCGTTTTCATCTTTTTTGTCTCACAAAACTTTTTCTTTTATAGTTGCCGTTGCGGTTGCTCTTCCCCGATAATCGATCACATGTACTAGGCGGAGTTGTAGTACTTGTAGGTCGCCTCACTCTACTCCTCTCCACCGATTGACCATGTCCATGAAGTTGAAACACATTTATAGCTAATTCATTTCCAACACTGCTCTCGTCCTCAAGGAGAAACGCACAAATCAGCTGGCTATGCATACGCTTCTTCTTCTGCAGCACACAACGCTATCTGAGTATCCACAGTTGTAAAGGATAGATGCTGTCAGCGTCTAGTCACTAATACCTGCCCAATTCTCCCTGTTTGCCGGATCGTGATGGACATGATGCGTCATCACAAAGAAATGGAGCTAGAAAACCACTCGCCAATACATCCCGCATCTGCATCTAGAGGTTGCAGTACGTACTTCGTTGATCTTCACGTGCGGCGTGATAATGAGAAGATTTAGGGGGCTTGTCGTTGGGTCGTGTCAGGTTGATCTATCAGTTGTATTTCTATTTGATGATAATTGAAAAAATATGCAGAACTTTTTGCATCATGAGTATAGGACGAGGACGACTCAGTCATATTCCACATACTATGTTTTTCTATTTCGCGCTTTCTTGTCTCAGATCCTTAACATGTTGCTACATTCATACTGTTCGCTGAAAACTTAGACGATCCATCATCAACTCCAACTCGAGAAAAGTAGTAGAAAGAAGATGTAATAAAAATATTAAATATGCAATAAGCCGCCGATCTTGCAGACAGCACTAAGCCTAGTAGCTAGAACTCAGCAATTCATTTTACTCAATAATCATCCGAATCCCCGAATTCTATAACAATCTCTTTCTTTGGAGGTTTGTATTTCTTCGCCTCCTCTAGTGATTCCTTCGCTTTCGCGTGGAAGTCCACCATCTTGTACAAAGATGGGTGTCTTATTGCTAGGTGAGTGTCTGGGTCGTACGTGGGCGTTGTCGTAGCGTCTGCTCCATCTGGTTTCACAGGAGCAGAGGTTGACGGGGACCCCGCCGTCGCCTCCGCCTCTGGTATATTTCGAGGAGGCACTATTGATTTTGACACCTTGTTCGTCCTTCTTTTATTTGCCGGTGCCTTGGTTTGTACTGCAGCTGCAATTTCTATGACTTCGGACATCATTTTCTCGAAATTTTTTCCGCCGTCCCGCTTTGCTGCTTCTACAAACCCAGTCGGTTGGCCTTTTGCAGTAGCAATCTGGTCTAGTTTTTGCGCTGTTTCCAGTACTTCTTGCGTCAACGCCGTGATCTCGACCGCGGGTCCGTCACTTGAGGTCGCGCGGTCCGTGGCATAGTTTCGGAGCGCGTCTAAATATTTGGTGTAACCACGGCTCCTATCCTTGTCAAAATCTTCTTTGTCTCCACAAGATGTGAGCATGAGCTCACCCATGTACCGTTCGGCAGCCTGCGACCCCGCTCGGCGGCGCGTGCGCAGGTCCTTTTCCATTTGAGCGCGCTGTTTCACGAGAAAAGCTTCTAGTGCTTTTTGTTCTTCTTCCGCAATACCGAGTATTTCCGCTTCCTCTGCGTTCTTGGCTGCCACTTCAGCTTGACGCCTTTTGATTTCGTTTTCCGCGTGATTCCGCAGCAGCTTCTCTCTCTCCTCGTTTTCCTTTCGGATTCTCATCTCTGCCTCTTCCGCTTGGTCGTCGTACTTCTTGGCGAAGCCACGGATTTTTCCGCTCGGCAGCGGGTACTCTCCGGCTCCTGCTTCTACCTCATGCTTCGCATACTTCTGGATCCAGAGAAAGGCGTTGTCCACTGCTTCCTTACGCTCGCAGAGACTCCGAATTTCGGGAATCCGCTTGCGCACCACCTGCGCATAGCCCTTTATTCCAGTCAGCTCCACAGCCTGCTCGTCCAGCTCGCCGGCGTAAGTAAGCAGCGCCGATACCAATTCGTCCGTTGACGTCGACTCACGCGTAGCCACGAACGTGGTGACCACGCGCTGAAGATGCAGCCAGAAGGGAAATCCGTTTGGGTTCAACGCCAATGCTGTATTCTTGATCAAGTTGGCGCGGCCCTCCGCGGACACGGTCGCGGCGCCCTCACTGTTTACGCCAATACTCCAGTCCACTGCTGCGGCATCCGCTTCCTTCATCTGCTTGCCAATCTTCTGTCCCGGTGCAACGCTGATCCTTCCGCTCTCGTCGGTCTCAAAGATCAGATTGGAGGACGGTTGCTTCTTCTTCTTCGCCTGCTTTGCAGCTTCGAGTTGCTCACGTCCACGAAAGTTAGATCCGTCGTAATCCTTCAGGTCTTTGTGTGCCCTCGTTTCCGTTTCAAATCCTCTGCCGCTGTAGAAGTTGCGGTGCGCGGTCGGAAAGACACCCGACGTCTGCAGCCCTTTCGCGAAGGCTTCGCGTTTCTGAGCATAGTCTCCCACGCTTGGGGGCAGGTCTACCTTCAGCTCTTTTTCACGCGCCTTCGTCACGTGTCCGAATCCGTACTTCACGTCGCTCGTAGAATAAGTCGCGTGACTAGCTGTGGGTTGGTCTTTCCGCTTCTGCTCGTCAGCGGCCTTTTCTTGTTGCTCCTCTGCCGCCGCTGCCGCCTCCCTTTCGGCCTCCTCCGCTGCGACCCGTGCAGCCTCCGCCTCTTCTGCAGCCTTGCGCTCAGCCTCTTTGACCGCCTGATACTTATCGTAATTGGGACGAACGACACTTTTCATCTTCGGGCTCGCCGTGTTGTCGTTTTTGGGAAGGACAACACCCTTCATCTTTTGGTAAAAAGACAAGTAGGAGGAACGGACGATGTAATATATGACGTCCTAACTTGTAGAAGTAGCTATACAGAGGAAACAAAATAGAGTGTTGTCATTAATACATCGTAGGTGATATGAGATGCTGCTGCTTTGATTCACTTCTTAATGCGCAAGCAAATTGTAATGGCCACGACGACGAGCACAAAACTCAAGCATGAAGAGAGCTCGTCTAAATCTAATGCCTTTGTAACAGGAACACCTGAGATATCCTCTGCTGTCAGAAAAAGAGAAAGAAAGAACTACTTGGAAAGCCAAAGCCCACCTGGCCAAAGCAATAACGTCAGAAGCCCGAAATTGGACCACGATTAAAAAGAGTAGAAAAAAGCAAAAGGAGATCGGAGAAACAGAAAGGGAGACGAGGCCTCAGGAACACAACGAAATCAACTCTGTCGTCGATAATATTACCGAGTAAAGGCACGACCCCACAAGAATGTCCTTTATGTTTATATTTCGGTCACTCCACCTCGTTCATCTTCATACAGATACAAGTACAACCTAGTCAGTCTGTACTAATTTATTGACACTGACTTGGTAGAGTCCGAAAGTGAAGCTCTCTCTCTCTCTCCATACATAAGGTGTGTCTACCTTACTCAAAGTCAAAAGAATCGACTTTCTCGTGCTCAACATGTTACATACAGAAAGGCTAAGAAAGGGAAAGAGAGCACCACTTTATATATTTCTTCTTGAACATTAACCACGTACACGTAGCATTCATTAGTCCTCAAGATCTGTTTACTCCAACCTCCTGCAATTGCAAAGCCGATGCCCTTTAGTCGTCAAAAAGGAACACGCGACTGTCTATTTCAGAGAGGAGGTTGTATCTCACGTAGATAGAGCAGTTTTGCCGCTAAAGTTGGGTAAATGAAATATGGGCTCTCGTCTCGTTTTCAATCATATGTGATCCTAGCTTGTAGTCACACTGCCTGTTGAGATATCAACCTTATTCATTTGTCCCTTCCGGAAAGAGAAAGATCTGGTGCAACACAAAGTTTCAAAAGCGTAGTTCAAAAATTTGAAAACTCGATGTCATTGTCAGCACTAATGCCGCAGGATGCTAGCACCGCGACAAACCGCGAGTGATCTTTTGCGAGTAGGTACCGCAGAAGTGCTCGGCGGTGGTATACATCGGCGCCAGGTAAGTCGCATCTCTGCGAAGCAGAGGCACTCTCTTCATGCGTATCACGATCACGGGAGAAGACGTACTCAAGCCACTGAGGTCGTCGGTTCGTCGATCCCGGGGTCTGCTGCGCGATTTTGGTTTCTTCTATGATGAATCTTCGAAAAGCCGAAAAAAGGTCGTCGTCGGACCATCCGGCCGCGCGTTGGAGCTGCTTAAATTCAATATCTTCCGCCCGAATCCACTGCGCTTGGGAAAATTGATTGATGTAGGTTTGCAATAGTCTTACAACACGAATTACATCGGCCTCAGATGAAGTTGAAGACTGAGGAGGAGGCTCGTCGGACTTGCGTAGAGTCGCGCTAGTGGATGCTGCGATTTCGTTCTCGGATGCTGTGGTTGAAGCAGCTTGCTCTTCATCTGTGGAAGGTGGATTTGGATCCCGAATCATGCCTTTCCCAGGCCCAGGGAGTGCACTTGCATTTTTCGCGTCTGAAGATGATGAGTAGCCTTTAGAGCAGTCTTTGTTGCTGCTCGACGATAAGCGTCTGACCTGGTCGAGCATTGATGTGGCACGTTCGCAGCGTTCTGCTGCATGAGTGATGCAATTCTGTAAACGGACTACACTACCAGCCAGCAGACTGTAAATTTCTCTCTCCAGCAGCTCAGCTTCTGCATGTTTCTGCGTCGTGGCCCGCAAGAACTTTTGAGCCTCTTCGGCTGTTGCCGTGACTTGTAAACGCATGCCGTCGACGATGTCAGCCGCCCGGTAGGCGGCAACAGCCTCAAATCCGCACTCTCGGCTGAAAAAGGCATGTTCCAGACGGAAGCTCTCTTGCAACGCGGAATCGCTCTCCTCCCGCAGAAGCGTGCAAAATTCTGTGGCTGCTTCCACGACCAGTGACACAACGCGCAGAGCGAGCTTCAAATCAATCGCGCTTACAACTGTGCTGATGAGTCCAGAGACAAATTCCGCATGCTTCTGCAACTTTGACGGTTCGCGCTCTTCGTGTTTGTCATTTCCAGCATCGCGCCCAGATGAGTTATCACCTGTGCTCCTCTGTGCAGGTTTACTACTTCGGTCCTGGTTCTTTTCATCTGCGGTTGTTGTGTCTTCCGTCGAGAATGAAACGTGCATCGCTGGTGTAAGTTGTTCGCGAAGACACAGGAAAGCCTGATGCATGCGCTGAAACGCCTCTTTTGAACCCCCTGCCTTATCCGGATGACACTGAAGACACCGCTCTCGATAGGCTTTGCGGAGATCTGCAAAAGATTGCGGTAAAGCGGACAAGCCGAGAAGGCGCAACGCACTTGATAGCGTGGTGTCGTCGTCCCTCGAGTCGTTCACCTGCTCTTGGTCGCGCTGCTCGTTCCCATCCCCATCGCTCGTCTTCGATTCGGACCCGAATGTTTCCTCCGCATGCATCATGCCGCAGTCCACTGTCTTTGACAATCGCTCGAGCAACGCGTTCGCAGAGTCTAGTAAGGAGGCATCGCCAGTGCTGCCTTCACTTGCTCTCGCCCCCGTATTTTTACAAAGCGATGCGTTTTCCTGCCTCCTCATAACTTCCCGAAACTTTGCTTGCATAAGTTTTTCCTCTTCCGCTGTTTTGATGTTCGATAACTTACATGTTGCAAGCTTTTGAAGGAGCCCGATCAGCTTGCCCCTTATGTTTGTCGGTTCCGGTGCGTTGAAAATAGCGACTCTCAGCAATTCCCAGCGAACACGAAGAGCATTCGATTGGTCGGTCGAAGAGGCTAAGGCACACAGACGGTCGGTAAACCATGCGTTCCACGCCACAGCTGCCGCCGCTGCTGCTCGTGCGGCTGAGGTCGGAGACAAACCTGCGCCAGCTGTTGCAGAGATAGATCTGCTGTTCGTGGTTGCGAGTTGCTCTCTGGACTCCCGAAGCAGGCTCCGGAGCTCTGTCTTCGGATCTGGCTGGAGGTTTCCGCAGCTTTCACCCAACGCAAGGGTAGTCGCAATGTGATATGCATTGGTCGTCAAAGAAGACGCTTGAGTAGACGACTTCGGGTTCCCAATAGCCCAAGAATGAACGAGCTGGCACACATTGTGAGGTAATCCAGACTCGACCAGTGATGACGATGAGGCTGCCATCGCACGACAGAGCGGGGAAAATGAACTGCCTGCGTTGGCATAACTGCTGCCTCTTTTTTGCCCGGAGGTACATTTCTCCGTCGATTTTTGACCACTCGACACTAGTAACGCGCGTTCCACTTCTTCGCGCAGCGCAGCTACTCTTGCTGAGCGCGTTTGATTTTCGTTTTTGCTGCTACAGCTTGTTAGCGTGCCGGTCCTCGCAGAGCATAAGGTGGATGGGTCATGATGGCCATCCAAAAGAACTTCCATGTATCGGATGGCTAAGTGCAAAGACAACATGCTGCTAGAACTGTCGCATCCTCCTCCGCCTTTGCCATCAGACAGTTCGAGGATAAATCTCTGGTCCTGAAGTTGTTTACCATCACTGTCGCCGGCTGTGCTTGGTCGGGTGTTGCCACCGGGTTTCTGATGATCATGATCGCTGACTTTGCCAGCAGTTGTAACCAACTCCCATCCGAGATTTCGCAAAAATTGTGAGAGCAATTGGCGGCTTTCTGGTTGGATAGCTTCGTCTTCAAAGACAACGGCGAGCAGCTTGGAGACGCGCAAACGACGATAAAACTCGTTTCCAGGATTTTGGTCTACCTTGCGGAATGCTTTGAGCAGCGCGCGCAGGCCTTTTCGATGCCGCAGGGGCCAAGAACGGAGAAGCTTCACTAGAACTTCTTTTGTTCTAGCACCGTGCTTGGGCTTTGACTTGGAATAAACAGCGCCATCACACTCATTGATGTTTTGAGACGTATGGTAGGGGAGACCACTATTTGGCAGGCCGTGCTGAAGCGGGCTGTTGCGCCTTTCGAAGAATGGGACCGCGGGAGAGGCATCTTCGGGGCCACCGGGCACTGCTTCATCTTCGGAAATGCTGGTTGCGTTGTCCTTAGATATCGAGCGCGAACAGCTTGCCGAGGACCCGCACCGGGATAAGCGTTCAACTCGGAGTTCCTTCGCGCATTCCGGTGGAAGTTTCCGCCCACCGACCCGCCGCCCCTCAAACGCCTCGACGGGAAGCATCTGCCGCAAATACGCTTCCTCCGTCCGATTCAGAGACATTAGAAGGCGACCTAGCTGCAGCTGCTGCGACATGGTCTCCTCACCTGTCGTTGCGAGTGTGGGGAATTGTGACAAGAAAGTTCACTTCTATCTTCAGTTGTGGTTGCAATGGATTATCCTTCAACAACAACAGATCAGAGCTGGTTGTCAGCAAACATGATCATGATGTAGTGCCTCAACATTATCTGCTTTGACAAGTACGACCCTCAAAAGATTAAGACAATACAAATGAATGTGGTTGTGGTACTTACTAATAACTTCGATTAGGAAACAACAAAACACACAAACATGAGAGATGGATTTCATCTTGAGTTTCGAAACATGTCAAGCCTGCTCTGTCAGCCATCGAGTAACTGTAAAAGTACCGTTTACTTCCGTTTCAGGATGCGCTAGCTTTTGGCGGACTTCCAAAACCTCTTCCAGAGAAACCGCTTTGCGGTAGTTTGCACAGTCCGGATCGATGGCGTAGAAGGCGGGCATTGGAAGTGGGCCGTTGCCACGAGCGATATCGCGCAGTTCTGCCAGGTCTTGCCTGTCCTGGGCCGTTAAGCCTTCGGCGTCAACACGCTCGAAACCAAAATCGTCCAAAATATCGCTCTCCCCTTCGCTTTGATCCGGTGTTCTGCCACCGCTGCCGCTTACAGCTTGAACATGATTATTCCCGCCAAGCCTACTGGCTTTGAACCGGGACTCATAAGTGCCTCGTCGGCTACTCATGGATCCACTGCTAGCAGTGCCTGTTCCTGGTGGAGGTTGCTTCATTTCGTGCAAAGACGCTGCGGAGGAACTGGCAGCGTTACTCGACGCACCGGTGAGTGACGTCCGCCTGCTGCGACCTGAAACCGGACCGAAAAAGCTGGCCTTCGGAAGCGGTGGTCGGCACGGTGTCGCGCGTGGCTCGGTCGACGTGAAACCGGGAAGCAAGTCCATGCTTTTCAGGTCATCCCCATTGCAGTTTGCAGCAGCCTGAACGTTCTGTGCCATAATCCTTTCACGAACCGACGTCAGCTTCTTCAGATCGTCAGCAAAAGTATCGTCCTCATCGGCGCCAGAACGCGCACTAGGTGTGGGAGCCATGATGCTGCGGCGCCCTTCGTCTCTCTGTCGCTCGCTGTCGTTCCTCACAATTATATAAGTAAATATGATTGACGCTTGTTGTTTGTTGGTGTTGCACTCGTTTTCGTATAGGACGTAAATGAACTAACGAACTTATTGTCGCAAGGCCCCTACGATTACGTTTAACGCAAAAAAAATACATATCACCGGCTGCGCCCGCATCCGTTAAATACATATCACCGGCTGCGCCCGCAGCTGGCGATCTATCATATATTTTTCTATCGACGCTTCCACCTTCTATCAACAACCTCCTGTAGTACGACTACCTCATCAACATCAAATAAAAACCTCTGTAAATATAAGATGAAGAGAGCACGATCTAGCTTCTTGGGTATGATTTGACCTTCTAGCAGTAGCAGGTCCAGGAACATCCATAAAGTGTCAATTTGCATTTGAGCACCGAACTTTCTTATAGATCCAATTTTCAGCATCAGGATACACTCGACTCTCGCCCTTCCCAACAAGTTAGTGTACTGATTACTGAGAATCGCACTCCGATCTTTTCTTGAGTTTAAACCGAGAGATTCCGACACAGGCAACACGGAACGACACCATTTAGACATGCAAGAGAGTCAGGGACAAAGAGAAGATTACGAGTCGGCAGGAGGAGCACCGAGACGCATAAAAAAAATGGAAGAAATTTACGTATTCATATACTCTCAGTCACCGAGACGCTTGATCTTGTTTACCTCATCTATGTTGACTGATTGGTTTTCAAGTGTCTAATACAGACAACATAGAGCGATCGAATTCATTCAACAAGCAGCTCGACAACGATGCTTCTCCGAGTTATGTTTGGTTGGGTTCATTGACCGTGCCACAGAGATGGACGGTTAATGTTCTATTGAGATAAAAAGGAAAAGGATGAGGTGATCGTGATCCTTATCTTCGGGATCAATGCAAAGGGTGGGGGGTTCGGGGTATGTCCTGACAGGACATTCGGTAAACGAATAAGACAAAGAGATGGGCGAGGGTTTCCACCTCGAAGACTCTTGGAGATGACAGGAAGTGTTCACAAAGTCAAATTAGATCTTAATATGGAACTTACAGGAGAAATAAAATAATTGGCTTCATCCGCTTCGAGTTAGTTTGGGAAATCATTGTCATCGCTGCGGGATTAGGTACCACCATTAACATTGTGCGTTGCTAGAGCGAGTCGGTGTGAGCTACACGTTACATTATGTTCACAAATCATGAAGTTGAAGACAAATCAACAAGCATTAGTAAATTCCGCAATAAAAAATTCTATGGATACGTAGATCCGCGAATATTTTTGCTTTCATTGCCTAGGCTTGTATCACGAAGAGCGAGGAAGCAAAAAAGAAGTCAGAAGTAAACTCTTTGGCCTCGGTTGACAACGACATAAAGTTAGTAATAGTCCGCCTAATCTTGAACTTGAAGGGAGAAGTAGTACTTATCTAAATTTATTGTAAAGGAACAATCACAATGAGGGCAAAACATCGTAAATAATATGATCAAATGATCTTCAGCAGTGATCGTGCACTCTAGGCACACATAGACATCGTTTAGCGACCACTTCGATAATAAGTGCAGTGAGGGCCTCCTCGAGGAGTAGCTCCGATTCGTTGTCGTTTAACAGTAGCCCTTGCTGAACTTGGGTGCTTCTTCACCTCCCACCAGAGGACAACGATACCTCATCTCCTCCCATCAGAAGGTACTTCACGTACACTAAGTCTGTCCTAAGAAACGAGCATTTGCCAACACACATCGTCCGACCTCGGCACACTGTTTTAACACCAGTATCTTACCACGTGTGTTGACAAACGGCCGCTTAGCCTCAGCCCCTTCGCATGGGTGGTTGGATCCTATGAATCCGGGGACCAGGTGGCCCGCCGCCGCCATTTCCAGGCTTCCCCGTTCCGTTCATAACCGCACTAGGCTTCGATGGAGCAAAGATGCTCTGTACGAAAATCAGGAAAATCCGGAAAAATGACCAAAACCTGGATGGAGGTGATGGACAACCCGATCAAGAAGATTCCGAATACACATACAGATACACATGAGGAATCAGAATCTAATCGAGCTCAACCTCGACAAGGACGAGATCACTCATGATATTAGAACAAGTGTTTGTTCTAGTTCATCATCCAAGAAAATCTCTGTCCGCGGAAATTTTCCACACCGTCTGTGTCTGAATGAATCAAACCTAAACCTAGAGCTAAAGCTAAACTTCTAAATCGGAAAACGAAAAGGCGATCAAAAACTTAATAATTCTTACCCGACTGCGGCATAATCCAGGGGATTCATCACGCTACTTCCAGACCCCGCTGCTCCATGTTGAGAAGTAGAAGGCCGCATTCGTAGTTAGCGATCGTTCACCTCAAGAATTCATTGCCTAGACGAATTATCTGTCAATTTACTTCTCTACCGTGGTTCTATTACAGGGCTTCATTCCATGATAAGAATAACGACAGGACTAACTCCAAAATCCGAAATGACGCAGAGACGTCCTACACGGATGAAATGAATTTTTGAAGCACGCCATAAACCCTTGGAGGAGCGGCTCAGGATGAGACTTCCTCAGTTCTCTCCGGAGGTGTAGGTGGTGATGGTCGCACGGCATCCCCATCATCGTGGACCACGTTGCCGTCAACGATGCGCACCATTTTTTCTATAAGCTTAAATACTGGCCGAGCCGTTGTCGTTGTAAAAAGAATACTTTACAGAAAAAACTAAGTCCAAGACTACGAATATTAATAATTTCCATTTCCTCCAAAACACAAGGTCATGTCAATGAAACAGTAGAATAGGACACTCCACTTAATGTTACACAATTAGAATCAGAATGAAAGAGAAAGAGAATTCAGAAGTCACGCTCACCTAATATAATGATAATTAACGATCCTCCTTATCCACGACCAAGCCCGTCTGGTACTACAATTGATGATCTGCCTAGGAAAAAAAAACCTTTATGAGAGAATCATCACCTGCCTGCCCTGTGTTAGGGGATGTGGGTGAGCACCTAGTGGATCGGGAAACATCACTCTAACTCTTTTCTCGTAACTATTAGAGCAAAATAACAAAACAAAAGGGCTCGGAATTCATTGAGATTGAGATCGTGACGGTTCCGCTTTCGATTTCGTGTTACTAAAACAAAAACCAGCACAGATAGAATTCCCTTTCTCAGCTCTCTCGTTTTGGTGCATCGTGATGTACATCAAGGCTCACGAGAACCATATTCTGATCGGATCACTTTGCCTTTGATCTCCTTAATTCCTCTTCCTGCTTTCGCTCGTCAAATGAATATTAGATGGTACAACATTGATTTTCATACAAAAAATCACTGTCACACCCTGAACCTCGAAGACCACGCCGAGTGAAATACTGTGCGTGTGCCCATCATCGACTAGCACTTTGAGTCCTTTCAGGAAAAAAGTCCGTATCTTTCTTGTTTGTCCCGCCCGCGGGCGCATATCCGTATACTGGTCGCTGGTTTGCCTAGAAGAAATCGACGTTTGTTTTTGTAAGCGCGAACAAAATAACTGGTTTTTGCCTCATTTGTGTAGAGACCACGTAATCTGGTCAGTCTCTTACAAAACGATTTTGATCACAATCCCGGGGATGTTCCATGTTGTGCAATTCATCTGCGAGTCCATAACTCAAATTCATTTTTCAAAAACCGGTGGCGATCGCATCCATCCCTCGCTGATTTGTTTTCTCGGCAAGGAGAAGAACTTAGCACGAAACAGAAGACTTTACGATTTTTCATTTCGATATCTTTAGAGTTAGAATGCGGATCGTTAACCTCAAGGCATGCACAGGTGACCCTACATCAATTGCCTGTGCGAGTTCCTGGCAGCTGCTGCTGCAGCATCTACCCCCGTCGACTCTTTTTTATTATCGCTACGTGGTCCTTCTTGGAAAGCAGAACTGGAGCCAAATATATAATTTGTATCGTAAAATGAGAGAGCGATATCAAGCTTTCAAAATACACACATGTATAGCCTAAAAAATATCTTTTTTCTCCCCTAGGTAAACTTTGAAAATTTCTTCCCGGTTTTTCTTCGACTGCTCCTCTTTAGTATTCTGCAGGAACAAATTCGGCTTCAGCGGAAACACGATATAACGTGGCTCGTTTACGGTTCTTACCCAGCTCCTCGGACCCTCGCTCCAGGGTCGATTCAATCCCTCGCGACTTCGCGCATTCCGAACCCCCACAAAAACGTACAAGTGCAGCCCAAGAACCACAAATAGGACGACAAAACTCATGACGCGGTCGATGCGGTCAGCTGTGCGCAGCTGGGAGATCGAGTACGTCGGTGCGTTGTTCTGCAACTGCTGCAATAGCTGTTCTTCTTCGTCCCCACCAGAAGTTGAAGACGACGAGAGTGAATCACTCCACAGCGAAAATCGGTCGCGGGACAGCACTAAAGCGCAGAGCGCAGATCCGAGCCCCATCAGCAGAAGCGAAGCGTTTACGATAGTTATGATCCCGTCCAAAACGGTCATATAGGGCACTCTCGGCAAGCGGTCCAAAACAATCCACTGCAGCGCGAAACACGTCAAAAACATCGCGAATATCAAATTCAGCCGCCCGTTTAAATCCGCCACATCTAAACAATAACTTAAGCTCCCGAAGATGAGAATCGCGTATAAGGGGAAGCACGTTTTGAAGAGGTAAAACTTCGGGTTGCGCTTCACGTGCAGGGAAAGTAGCAGATCCTCGTATCCGTCGGGGTTAGCCTACGACTGGTGCGCGCCTTTCGCATAGGAAACGCCGACCAGGTCAAAATCCCCGCTCGTGCACTTCTGCGGGTCCGCAACCGGCACGTACATGCTCTGAGAACAAGACTTTTCAAATTCGAAGCACACCTCCTGGCTGCCCTCGAGTCTCTTTTCGCCGCTTAAGCACACAATAAAGTCGTAACGCGCGCTGTCGAACGGAAAGCTCCGCAGCCCGTCGGCCGAAGACAAAACCTCAAAGCGCGTCTCTTTCGTGAACAAAATCCACTCCAGCTCGCCGTGGTCGCGTTCGCGCGTTGCGAAGGACGGCGGCTTTTCCAGGTCCTTCGGTTCGATATCCATACCACCCTCGCCGACAATGAAAATCTCCGGCTTCCATATCTCTGGCGGCACTTCCTCTTCCAAGCTCCAGTTGGCGAGCCGGTAGTCGCGCCATGTGTAGTTAGCGCTCCCAAATCAATTGTTCAAGTTTTCGTGCCTCTTTCGGTTTTTCATAAGAATGAAAATCCAAGACCAGCCAAAGCAGCAGCCGATGAACGGGAGAAACGGAGAAAAAACTACTCAAGAGGGGAACTCCTGCAAATCCAAGTGCCAACTACATGCTAATATTGGCGGTTACCACATCAAATGACACAACAAGAATGATCGAATTTGCCATTTTCATTGAAGAAGAAGAAGAAGAAAAAGAAAGAAAGAAAGCCTTAATGATGAGTAGTCGCATCTTCATCTCCATCAATTCGTGACCGTCCTTGGCAACGACTTTCCACTGTTGTATCCAAAAAGTCACGTGCACAGGTAAAGCCGTTTCCTTCGACTTGAACCCGTTCTTCCGTTCCTCTGCGGTGGCAGGACGCAAGGCCCAGTCGGGAATCTCGGCATCTGAAAATGTACGGGAAGTGCGGCGGACAAGCGGGGCGGAGCGGGACGGCGACGTGGGACGAACGACCGCGCCGGTTACTATGGCGGCTGCGTCACCTTCATCTTGGTTACTTTGAGATTGAGTGCCGTTCCCATTGACTCCTGTTGTAGAATCCTTCCCGTTGCCCTCGACCTCCGCTTGCTGCTCAGCAAGTGATTGTTCCTGGCTCTCCTCCGGAGATACCTTGCCATCGCCCGCGTGGTCTGTCATTTTCGAAAGCTTTCACTTCGATTCGACGCTTAAACAACTACCTGTTTTGGAAACCGTTATCCTTCTTACAACAAAGTCAAACAAGTCAATGTCAATGCCGTCGGTCTGCCGCGCGCAATGATCATGTTTGACAAGCGCATATCTGGCGTCGACTGCCTACGACTACCGCTGCAGCTACAGGTAATGTCAAAAAAGATGATATCACGAAGATTGATGAATGACCGAATCGTAGTCCAGGCGTTACATGTGTTCCCGCCATAAATAGCAAATAGATCATGGACGATTAGACCGTGGTGGGCTAGGCCGAGCAGGAGGTGGTGGATAACGGGATAATATATGATTTGGAAGCCTTTCTTCAAGTTCAACAACTACACTGACTACAACCCGATGACTTGATCAAACAGAATCGGTACACACAAGACCTACCGAGCCTCCACGAACCTCAAGCTGGCATCCAGAGTCTGAGAGAATAGTAACGAGTTAAGCTTCAGGTAAGTGCCAGAATGGTTGTAAGCGAGAGTGAGAGAGCGGTGCTGGATATAAAAAGTGATGAGAACGAGAAGAGAGACTAGCATCTACAGACTCAGAGACAATGCATAAGATATTAATAAATTGTGGCGATGCCGGCCTAACTAGAAAAAAGAAAGACCAGAGGAAGAGAGAAAAGAGAAAAGGGTAATGACCACTAAGCGTCCTCTTATCTACTAAAACTAACTAAGTGCCGGCGCTATCGTCGTCCTGTCAGCCCCAATGCTAATGCATAATATTATAATAAATAATAAAAAAGTTCGACCTAGTCAGCGGGGATGCTGCAAAAACCGCTCGGAGGAACGATCAAATCCTGAAGACGATGTCGATGAAACTTGAAAATAACGCTGATGCGGTTGTCATATTCAGCAAGAACCGAGGAAGGACAAAAACAGACCAGTAACCTCCGGTAGACAAGAGTGTCGCGTCCTTTATGAGCTATTATTTATCTTCTTCCAGAACAACATAACAATAGCAGAACACGCACGTCGCTACATCAAAAAAGGACTTTTCGTCGACTACGCCAACATTTTTTTTTCATGCATCTGTCTCCCGAACCGCATCTCTTTCACTTTCATCCGTAAACGTTGTAGCTCTCTAACTACTCTGTGCAATCGTCCTCGCGATAACTATAACTAATCTAAATTTATCAAGAAAGGCAGCGTCGAGGTACATTGTTCTGTACCTCGAATCTCATGGAAGGCGTCTTTATTCTTGGTGACTTGCGGGTCTTTCGAACGCCATTCAAGTATTCAACATCTACTTCGTCGACAAAAACCGCTCATATATAAATATATTCGGTAGGACTATAATCTTATGGTTGTTTTTCGACGAACAACTAAAGTTTTGTTTTGCAGAGTGACTCCCCAAGTTCCATTTTCTATTTGTTGAAGTTAAATCGTAAAAATCAAGTGCCTCAATAAAAGTTTTATGTCTACTATTTCAAGATGATGCATGCCGATTGTTGTAAGCATAAGCATATCCGTGTGGACGTGGAGCTATTAAAACTTGATGTTGACAATATCAGTGGAAATTCGAAAACAGCTGGAACAGGAACTGGCATTATCGTAATTTGATGGAGTTTCGCAAGCCTGAAAAATCCATAACGCCCACACCTTCATCTAAAAAGTCAGTGTGACCACGCAATTTCTAGTCCCCATGGTACCGCTGTGTTTAACGCCTTGCATTTTCTCAAACAAAAAAAGGATTTACAATACGAAGTTTGACCTGCCTTCTCACTAGTCGTAGGTATGGTGACTATGATACATTTAATACAACTTAACGTTAACTTTCGCCGCGGTTAGTACATTCCCCATCCCCGTCTCCCGACCATCTGCTTGTTAATTTTGCATAGTCGTAGTGCTCATTGCAGATGCAGTTGCCTGGTACAACATGAAATATGAATATGAAGGACTTTTTCGTCTTCCTGACTACATGCTTTTTAAATCTTATTAAACGTGACGAGCTTGAGCTTGAGCTATGAGTCTAAACCAGATATACTAGAATTAGCAAGACTTGCTCGTGCTCCATAGATAGGGTGACCATCGTTGCCAACAAACAGTTCTTTCGTCCTTTTTGATTTATGTAACTAAGAACTATTACACTTCTTAATCCCCCATGCCCATCTTCGCCCTCGCCATCTCATCGCAAGTCTGGGACGGCGATGACCCCTAAAGCCAGTGAGAGTCATGTTGATCTGAACTCTCCGAATATATTCTCTAACACTCAACGTCAACGAGAATGAGCATCGCTTCATCTATTCCCCTTTTTATAAGCATCCCGCTTGACGTTGATGATGAGACCTACGTTATTGAATACATAGTCTAGGCTCTGGTGGAAATCGAAATTAGGTGCTGAGGAGTAATGGTAATCTACATGTGCATTCATTTTAGATCTTTATTTTTGTACATCCAAGATGCCTGAGCCTGTTTTATAATGATATACAGCTAGAAGTTGTAGTCCGCTTTCGATATTGGTACTCAAACATCATTTTTAGAGTTAAATGTAGTTAAAACTTCATGTCAATCTTTTTGATTTCTCCTTACTAAAAGTACGAATTCGAATTTGACATTTTTTGCATGATTGGTTCTTCCAATAGGAATCGCCTTGTTCCTCTTTTTAGGGCGCGTGCTCGCATCTGCACTTTGCGAACAGACACGAAACATGCTTGTAACCGTTACCGCACTTCCCACTGCAGCACTCGCTGTCTTCCATGCACCTGGTCTTAGAACTATTTGTTGAAACAAAAATTTAAGTTTAGCCTTGTACTTGTAACAAGATAAATTAATGACGTTACTAGTGAGTAGCTTTCTTTTTCTAGATCAGGGCACTGAACTACGTGGACACGCGTGGTGCTTATCGATGCATCAGGGTGCTTCAACATGCGAGGAACTAGTTAATCGAATGTACTGCTCCTTCAACTACTTAGACAAGGTCAAGGAAATAGAAGTACGTTGAAAAGTGAAAATCGATATTTTCCCCATCCTCGACAGGAGCCTTAATGGTAGATGTCTCCTTGCATCTCAAACAATCGTTTCTCGGCACGTTGTAGACCAGGTCCTGGTGGGTCAACATCCGATGTCGTTGCGTCGGACTCGTAAACAATCGGCCCAAAGTGGATATACATGAAGATCGGCCTTGTGGTTTCTTCTGTACAGTTAAACACTTTGAAATACTGCGGCACACGGAATTGATACTTTAAAATCAAACTGTTTTCAATGATTGCTCAGAGACAGCACCAGCAGCAGTCGGTGCTCTTCGTCAGAAACACACAGATGTGAACTTGCAAGACGCATACCTACAGAAAGCATGATCAAGTAAAGAACTATCAACTTCTATCATTGTCTTTCGGTGATCGTGATAGTACTGATCACAACTGAGAAGTTCTATGAGTTTGCGATTCACAACAGCATAATGTGAGAAATTTGTAGAGGTAGGTGTCCTTCCGCAGAGGCTCTGGTTTTTTCAGGTGACAAGGCAGACGTTTAGCAACGCGGTCAGTGTAGCCGTCCCCCTCTGCACACTTGATGTCTGGAAGCCAGACGTTTGTCTCGCTATCGTGAGTGTCCGTTCATGAATCTTGGCAATAAACAAGAACAACGCCAAGTACTAGAGCGGGGGAGATACTACTCTAGTACGTGCCTATGAATTCGCTGGAAAAAGCCGTCAGTAGTAAAGTCGATGAGCAAACAAACAGAACAAGAAATTCCAGAGTTGTTAATTGCAGACTCGAATAATGTTGAGAACTGTTGGACATGGTCATGCATAGGTATAGAGACAGACACACAACTTGTTAGGGAGGGCGACGAGTATAGTTGCACGCAGGATTTTAGAGCGTAACGCTAACAAGATAAGAACTAACACCCTGCGCCATTTTTGGGGTGTTTGTTGTGTTTGTTCCTAAATTGACACCGAGCGGCGCCGACGATAGAGAGAAACGCGACGACAAGAATCAACGCCGCTCCAAGTTGTCAAAATCGTGCGCAATGTTGCCTGTTCGGTGTGTTTATACCTATCCAGCGAAGAGGCCAGCTGCCTAGCTAGGCCGCGTTCTCGCCTATCGTTCTGCAGTCGGTTTTGAGCGAAAGATGTGAAATGGTTCGAAATCGTAAAAAGTGCACAAATCACCCGCATAGGATAGTTTGGCTTCCAACACTGTCCGGCGTTCGCGCAACTCTCAGCTGCGCGCTTCTTTGGCCTTCGTTCGCTGAAGGTAGGTGGCACGATCTGCGCCACGCAGGCCGCGGCCTGGCTCGTTATTTGTCTGGCCCTCGTGTTGCGTCTGTCTTTGTGTGGCAGTGGCTGGGCCTGTGGTGTGTGGGGCGGCCGGCTGCAGATGAGATTAAGAACAAGGCGGCCGCGGATAATATGTTCGCCGGCGGTCTGTCATTCGGTGCCTGTGTTCTTATTCTTTGATGTCTTTGGTGTTCTGTTCTGGGACATCTCCGTGGGCTGGTTGTTCCGTGCGGTTGTTCATTTGCCTGCAGCCTCTTGCGGTGTTGTCTGTGGCTGGCTTCGTTCGATTCGTCAACTTGGTGGGCCCGCAGGGGTTTCGGTAAAATTGATGCGCTTCATCTCCCCCCCACGCCCCCGAGAGGCTTGCGGGGGCGGAACTGTGTGAAAAAACCAACAAGCTTGCAGGGCTTGCGCCATTCTTGTCTCAGCTGACTGCGTGCTTCCGCAGATTGGTGGGGCGCCTTTCGTGGTAGTTGCACCCGCTAAGGGCTTTCGGGGTGACCTTGCCCAGCGTTGGTGGTGTTCCCGTTCGGCTTCTTTGGGTTGCTCCCTAGCGAGCTACGCTTCACCCTTCAGATGCCTGCCAATCAAACAGGAACACGGACTGGCGTGCTGTGAGCTTCAGAATCCCCCGCGCCTTCGCGTTTTTCTGTTAGCAAGTTCGGCTTCTGCTTCTCTCGAGTGTCTGTCTTAGTCCCCTTCGCCGGTGATTTTGTTTCCCGCTCTGTTTGCGTAGCATGTCTTTGCCTATCGACTATCGTAGCGTTGCCGCCTATCGTTCTGCATGCATCACCATCATCATCTAAAACTATGATGCGGCAAAAAAAAACAGTGGGAGTACAGCTACAGTAGATTAGATGAAACCCTACTAAATCTAAACCCAATTATACGTCTTCTCAGTCATAAAAAGAGCTTCAACCGAGGTTCCTCTGGCTCTGGAGGTTCATCAGTCACCCACTCGCAACCATCCATCTCGCTACAACTAATTCCGTCCGTTTGCTGATGGCAATAGTGGCGAAGCGGGATGCATGCTTGCGTCACTCGTTCTTGCACAGACAGTGCAACGCTGCCGTTTTCTGTCATGATTGAGTAATGCCGATGCAGATGATGTTGATGTCTAATATTGTCTAGGAAGGATCATTATGATGTTATCAACGTGTGGATCTATGCGAAAAAGAAGCATCACAAACATTTTAGTTACATAATTTTCTATGTGCTCAAGCTCAACCTAAATGAGGACTTCCATCAATCGAAGAAGAAAAGAACGAGATGGAGATGCACGATTCAAATTTAGTTTTAGTACTGCCCTCGATTTCCGCAAGCCTGCGTTCGCGCACTGTGCCCTTGCGACATCCGTTGCCGGTTCGGAAGAGCATGAAGAAGTCACTAGGTGGCGCAACAAAACCTTGCCCCATACAGGCCTGTCGGATTCGCGGGTCTGAGCAACGCTTGGGCGAGTAGCAATTCTCTTTCTTTAGAAAGGATCACAGTGATTGAGATTCCTTGAGGCTTGATACTTCTAATTCTATGATGTGATACCCAATTTTTACTGGTGATGAAGATGAATATCAAAAGTGTATTATAAATCAAGGTATATGTCGTGGAAGACAGTTGTTGACGCTTCTTCAATATCATTAGCAAGGGAAGCGAAAATGCAAAAACTTTTGCGCAGAAAGTATATCAGCGTCTGCCCAACATGGCGCTGTCGTCGTGTTGCAGATGGTGCCAGACCCTCGTTGTAATAACGTCATCATGATCCTTCCTTGTGTATTGCTAATTGATTCTATGGTGTGATCATTCTTAAACAGATCCTCGTGCTCATTCCTAACCAAAATCAAATTGGTCAAGACCATGATTGAGTCAACTTTGCTCATGCTCTTTGTTGTATGACATAATTTCGTGTGAATGCCGATCGAACGAACGTTTTCGCGACAGAAGCCATCCAGGAAAGGACTCGCCCACTTGCGCCAGAAGCCCGCTTGTTTTTTCCGGTTAGCCGTCGACGGGGCGGCAGTAAGCTTCGTGTTCTTGATCGTCGGACTGTCATTAGAAGTGGTGGCCTAGTAATTCCATCTCAAAGCAGCTCACGACCCCAAACTTTCTGCCTGATTCGGTTACTTACACTCCTGGCATTGATGGTTAGTGCTTACAAGACCTGAGCCTGACATGAATTAAGCTGAGATAGCTATCAAAAAATTGAGTAAAAAAGGAGCAAAATGCAGCAGGTAGGAAGCTAGGAGATGAAGTTGCGCAAAAAAGGATCCCATATTTTGATGTTGAGTAGTCGTGAGCGCCGCGTACAGCGCAACAGCTTGTTGTGGTTGTTTTACTCCGCTTGTGTTTTGCGAAAGACCAAGAAAATACAACGACTGGGGCTCAGTCGTGTCCATTTTATCAGTAGACACCGTTGTGCCATTTCCTGGAGCAGTCAATGGTCTCCCGGTTTCACTCGAAAAGATAACGACTGGGCCATTCTTCTCATCCGAAATAGGGGTTAGAGCTAACCCTAACGCTAAGTATTAAGTAATAATTTCCTTCCCCTTCGGTTCGTCGTCGTCCGTTGAGTGTTTCACAGCATCTTTATCATCGTCTAGAGTTCTTGAGCTTGAGGAGGTAACTACTTAAACTTGTGGCGTTGAAAAGAAATAACTAGATCCAGAACTAACAACTAGTATTTCTAGTACTATGTATAACAGTATGATCATGTATACGACTACCACTACGTACTAATCTTAAGAAGCCCTCCTCTCGTTTCGATGCTTTCGTGGTTTTGCGCAATTGCTTTGCGCGCTTGGTGCCACGCGACTCGCGACGGCCACCGCGCGTAAGCGCGGTCTTACTTGTTCCCTCAAGTCGCTCGCGCACCTCTTCGAAGGTTTTCGCATCAAACAGCGCGGCAGCAGTTTGACCTTCTTGAGGAGCTGTCAGAGGAGAAGTTGAGAAGTCCTGCAGATGATCTTGTGCTTTGCCATCTTCAGACTTCATCATCTGAGGCTCTTCATCAAGTTGTGGTTCCTGTAGCACTTCATCACTCATTTCTTGTTGTGGACTTTGTTGCGTGGAGGTGGCTATGGCACTGTACTTGACAACTTGTCCAGCAGCACTCTGTGGACCACGAGATTCTCCTAGTATGGTGATTGTAGATTCTCCGTCTCCTGTATCTTCTCCTCCAGTGACTTCTAGAGTGCTTGTTTCTTCCAAAAAAACTGGCGGCGCAGTCTTGCGAACGAAGTGGCGGCCACTAGGATGCGAGTCCTGGAGAGTCGCGACATCGAGTTCACCACTCCTCAACGTTAATGTTGTCAGAAGAACCGAATCTAGCACGAGCTCCTGCTCGGAAAAATCCGCCACATCCTCTGGCTTCACGGGTTCTTGCACCAGTGGAACAGCGAGCATCATAGTACAACTACCTGCAGTTGTTGTAATAGGCACGTAGGTAGCGGAACTTGTAGCTGCAGCAGAACTAGAAGGAGAAGTAGCGACTTGAAGTTTCTGTTGGCCGGATGTTGTGGCTGACAGCTGCCCTTGAGGTTGTTGTGTTCCAAAAGCATCGTTTTTCTGATAGATCGTAAGGCTAAGGCTGGCAAGATGTGAAGCGAACCCGTCGTCGCCTTCTACATCACGCTTGGCTTCCTCGAGAAACGTGGCATTTTGCAATGTCTGTTCAAAAGGTGTCTGATCATCACCGCGCTCAACAACGAATTCAACTGGAGACGAACCAACACCATTCATGACGCAAGCTCCTCCACATGTAGCTCCGAATAGCCCAGTGGCTTCTACCAGGGTTGTGCCAGTAGAGCTAAATTTCTGGTAAAGAAAGAAGAGGTGCAATGAGCATGCAGGACGGCCAACAAGGGCACTGAAACGACTAGTCCTAATTTGCATTCTTTTTTTCTTGCTATCGATGTGCACCGACCTGGATTTGCAACAAGAAAATGGAAATACTCGCTTCTCCTTCTGGTTAGTTGTAGTACTTAGAGAGAACCGAAGCAGACTTGCCTCACGACGGATGGATAGTCGTAGGTCGTTGTCCCGCGAGATGTTTGGACGCAAATCTGGAGATGACGAGAGGTGGTTTTTCCTATTGAACAACCTATATTAATCAGAGAGTAGACCGAACGGCTCTGATAATTTCATTGATCGGGATCGCCTTGCTAGTTCATGTTATCCCCCGTACAACCGATACTTACTTTCATCCAGTATCAGAACACCACAAGAGAAGTCAAAAAA